CCAACCGTTCCGTACCCACCACCCCCCCCCCCCACTTCATCATGCTCTGTCTGTGGTCATCATCGCGGCTGTTGGGTGTGGCGTGCCGGGGCGTGAGCACAGTCGGCTCGCAGGTGGTGTGGCGGACTCTGGCGCACCGACCGCCATTCCTTCTGGTCGATGCAGTGGAGGAGCACGAGATTGGTGTGGCACTGCGCGGAGTCAAGCACGTGGTGGCTAGCGACGTCGAGGATGGAGCCGGCGCTGGAGTGCTGTCGGCTGCCAAGACGCTGGAAGGCGCCGGGCAGAGTGCGTGCATCCTGGTCAAGCACATCGACGGGCTCGAGGACTCGCTTCCAGTCTTTGCGGGCTTCCAGAACATCGTCTACCATCCGAATGGTAAGCTGCCGCCGCTTGGCTCGACAGTTGTCTATGACATTGTCCTGGAGACTATCAAGGGTGCCCGGTTCGGCCTAGTCTCGGCCACCGTCACCGACGCCGCCGATCCGGCCACGGTCTACCTCTCGGGCCAGCTCCAGTTTGGGTTTCTCCGGACGTGATATGTAATGGAAGCAGCTACATGGGCGGCTCCTTGCGCTTGCGGCTAGGTCCGCTCGCTCTGGTCGGCGGTGCCGGATGGCTGTGGTGTCGTGCGTACGAGACATCGACGACAACGGCGGAGGCCTCGAGCGCGCCGCTGATCCGCAGGCGCCAGCGTGCGGTCTTGGACGCCGGGCAGGCAGTCTCTGCAGTGCTGCTGGCGCAGACAAACTCGAGCGGTGGTAGCGTGCGCGCCACGACGTTGGCAAAGAACCGCTGCGGGGAGTGCGACGGCGGGGCCGGAGCTGCGAGCGCGTCGGTCAGTGCGCTGCGCAGAAAGGGCGCGTCGGCGGCATCAAGCAGCATCTGCAACGCCACCGGCTTCCAGCCGTAGCCATCGCTGGTGCTGTTTGCAAGGTACTGCGCAACCATGGAGCGGATCATCCGCTCAAGGGCAGCCGCGGCGGTCTCGAGTCTCGCGGCGGCAGCTGAGCCGGACCAGGCGGCGGCGGCGGCGGCTGGCGGAAGATCGCCAGGGCTGGCGGCGAGCGGATTGCTGCCCGGCGCGCTCTCGGCAGCCTCGTTGTCTGCCGACGGCATGTCGAATCGCGACGGGCGGCGGGTCCGCGCCAGGCGATCAGCAAGAGTTGTCGGCGGATGGGTGTGCTCTCCGCGGTGCTTCTCGACGACCTCGAGGTTCTCGCCGGCGGGCGATCGGCTGAGCACGTCGACTGTCTTCTTGGCCGGACATCCCGGGTGGGTGCACCGGTAGTACGAGCGGGGATATGGCCTGCTTGTCACGGTCTTCTCGCCGTACTTGCGCCAGTAGTGCTGTGCGGTGCCGTCGCCGGCTTTCTCACCATCGTCACCGCCTCCGCCGGTCTCCTCCTCCCTGACCTCCTCCTTTCCTCCGGAACTGTGCCGAGTCGGACTCGCCGCATCTTTCGCCGGCTGCGTGACTACGGGCGGGATCCAGTTGTTGCGGACAATGTCAAAGACCAAGCCTGTGCCCTCCCCGCCCGGCCCAGACCCTGCCGAACTCCGCTTCCGCCGGCATGGCTTCTTCCGTCGCGGACGCGGACCAGAAACGACAACCGGTGGCGGGAGTGCAAGGACAACCGGGCCGGGTGGGTGAGTGGCAGCTACTATTGATGCTGTGGTGCCCATGGGTGGAAGTGGGGTGGGAGGGGGAGGGGGGGGGGGGAGGTGGTGGTCATCGTGATCGTGATCGTGATCGCGATCGCGATCGAGTTCGGGATTGTGGTGGAAGTGGAAGGTTGGGGATGGTGGAGGGGAGGGATGGAGAGGCGGTTTGGGTAAAGAGCATGAGTCGGGGTAGAGGATCGATCGCACAGGGTGTACGGCCGAGCAGGTTGCTGGCAGGTGATGGACGGACGGTGTTCGGGCAGGGTGGGCGGTGGATGATGTTCGGGCGGGCGGGCGGGCGGTTGGTCTGTTTGGCGCGGTTGGGCGCCGCTGGCGTGACCAGGGGATAGCCATTGGAGGGCAAAGGCCTTTCTCCGGACTGGACCAGAGGGGGCAGAGGGACCAAGTATGAACACGTCGTCGCCGTCGTTGGGACCTGGAGCGGCAGGCGGAGGCGAGGAGGGCGCAGAGAACACGTACGACATCCTCCCGCGGCACAAGTTCAAGCAGCGGGTGGCCAAGGCCATCATCGCCGAGGTTCTGGACGAGATGCTCAAGGGCGAGGCGTACCACCCGGAGCAATCGTCGCGGCTGGCCCGCGAGGTGTCGGACGAGATCAAGCACAGGCTCAAGGGCCTCGACCTGCCGCGGTATAAGTTTGCTGTCCAGGTCGTCATCGGCCAGCAGCACGGCCAGGGCGTCCGCATGGCCGGCCGCTGCCTCTGGGACGCAGACACCGACAACTCGGCCCAGGAGGTCTACGTCAACGAGTCGCTCTTTTGTGTCGCAGCTGCCTTTGCTGTCTACCTCTACTGATGCGGCTATCCGGTGGCTGTACCGCTTTACTTGGTCCGGCCTACGCTGGTTGTCGCCACACCTGCGCCCGTCCAGTGCGCCGGCCTCCCGTCTAGTCCTACCTGCCTTCAGCCTCTGTGATCGCTGAGCCCGGCCTCAGATCGGACCCCCCCCCCCCCCCTCCCCCCCCCCTCCTTCCAGTATGTGTGCCGCCGCGTGCCATGCTGCACGCTTGCAGCGCTGTAAACACTCGTCGCTCCGACTCGGCCATGGCATCCACTCCCCGACTCCGGCTCGGCTCGGCAGAGGCTGGCGCAGCGGTGGCAACCGAGCTCCTGGGCCGTGCGCCCGATCCGGGCCTCCCGTTCTGCCCGTACATGCCGCCCATTGCAGCGTCGGTGGACGCCATGTGGAACAACGAGTTTGCCGCGGCCGAAGCGGCGGTGGCAGACGGGCGCGACGCAGCGCCACGCTTCCGCTTTGCGCACGCCACCTCGGGCCTGCTCCGCGCCTTTATGTCCGGCGATGTGGCGATCTGGCTGCTGCTGCCGCCGCCATGGCCGACGTCTCGGCTTTTGCCACCGCCTTTGGCTCGCCAGGCTCGGGCAAGACCAAGAAGGCCGCCGCCGCCAAGCAGCGGTTGGCGGGACTGGCCAAAGCCATGGAGACAAACAGCGGCGGCGATGTGGTCGTCGCACTCCGCAATGCGGCGTGGGACACACGACTGGTCGCCGCCGAGGCCAAGCTCCTCGAGGCCATGCTCCTGCTCAACATCGGGTCCAAGATCTCCGGCTCGCTCGCGCTGCGCAAGTCGTGGAAGGCCTTTACCGCCATCCAGACCGACATCCGCGCAAGCTCGCTCCCGATCTCCCAGTTTGTAGCCAACGGCGTCAACTTTGGGGTCGGTCTCTTCTTCTTTGTCGTCTCGCTCGTCCCGCCAGGCCTCGTAGCCAAAGTTCTCAAGATGCTCGGCTTTCGTGGCGACCGCGCCCTCGGCCTCGGCCTTGTCCGCGGCGTCTCTGATTCGGGCATGGGCCGGTCGGGCTTTGCCGCCATGATCCTCCTCTTTTCCATGCTCTATCTGCCGCGCGGCTTTGATCGCGATGATGGCACCCTTGACGATGCCTCCGACGTCTTGGACGGTATCCAGGCCAGGTATCCCAACGCAGCGCTCTTCCTACTCTTCCGCGGTCAGCTGCTGCGCAAGACGGGCCGAGCTGCCGATGCATCGGACGCTGTCGAGGAGGCTATTGCACAGACTCGGGCTGCAAACATCGCTGCCCCGTGTACGCTTCTCTACGAGCTGGCAAACACCCATTTTCACGCTCTCGCCTGGTCCCGCGCCGCAACTGCCTACGACGACGTTCTCGCCGCCGATGGCGAGTTTGGTATGCGCGGCATGTCTGCGCTCTCTATCGCGGCATGCATTGCCATGACGGCGCCTCAAGACTGCGACGGCTTCCGCGCTGCCCTCGAACGCGTGGCTGCTGTTGCCACGCCCAAGTCGCGGTACGACGACGCAGCCACATGCCTTGCCTCCCGCTACCTCGCCCACCCGCTCCTCGCCCCGCTTCTCGCTACCGAGCTGTTGTTTTTCAAGCACGATCTGGCGCATCTTGCCGCTGATCAAGCCCAGCCACTGCTTCACCGCTTGACGGCCGCGCCGATGGGGGTCGATTTCGACGCGCTCGCGCGGACCGCCGACAACAGCCTTGCCTTTGCGCCGCTCGTGCTGTGCGTGGCGGCGCTACGGCGCCGGGTTGGAGACACCGCCGGTGCGCGGACGGCGCTCGACGTGCTCATCGCCGCCGAGCCGGAGTTGGCTCGCAGTGAGCGCACCTATCTCGCGTTTGCGCTCTCGGAGCGTGCCGAGATCGCGCACGCTGCCGGCGATCTGGACGCGGCGGGCGTCGACGTGGCGCGGGCCCGCAAGCTCAAGGACTACCTGTTCTCGTTCATCCTCACGCGGCGGCTACGTGTGTGCGAGGCAGCGCTGGCCGAGGCCGCGGCGTAGCCAAGAGAGATGGCGCCGTCACGAGTCGCTTACAGAGTCTTGTTCTTGAGCGCCTCCTCCAGGGCCGCCTTGGCGTTGGTCACCTTGGCCCGGATGTACAGCGAGCCGCCCTTGGCCGGATCGTTGGCCTTGAACAGATGGTCGTAGCGCTTGGCAATTTCTGCTGGCGTAATCTTGTTCTTGGGGATGTCGAGAATGGTGGCCGCGGCCTCGGTCGAGATCGAGCCGGCCGGGCCTGCCTTGCCGCGGCGCTTGACCGCATTGGCGCCGCCCTTTGCGGCGTCTGTGGCAAGGAAGAGAGCATGAGTGAGTATCGCCGATCAGGAGCGAGAGAAGGAACCAAAGAATGAGGAGGGAGGAGGCAAGGAAGTGACCACAGTGACTGGCAACGTACTCTGCATGCCCTTGCGATACGCTTCACCAAAGGCCTTGAACACGATCTGCGATGCCGACAGCACAATGGTGGCGATGATGCGGGCGGCCTGGTGGGGTGAGGGGAGGGCGGGAGGGGGGAGCGAGTGGTGGAGAGATCGAGATAGCCCATACCAGGTCGTGCAACAGTAAGATGTGGTGAGTGGGCGGTGGAGGGGAGGACGGGAGGGAGGGAGGGAGGGAGGGAGGGGCAGAGTGGCGGGATGGGGAGAGGGAAGGGAGGGGGAGGACCTACCATGGCGTGGACAGTGCGAGGCTACGGTGCGGAGTGTGTGCGTGAAGTGTATGGAGAGGAGTGCGGGTGGGAAGGGTGTGTGTGTGTGTGGGGTGGGGGGGGGTGGGTGGGTGGGTGGGAGATGTGGTAGTGTCAG